CAAATCGGGGGCGGCCCAGAGGGGGCGTCCAAAAAGGGGGGGGGTGCAAATCATGGCCGGCGGCACGTGCGCGGCCAAAGGGGGGGGGCCGGGGACGTACTGAAATAAGAAGAGGCGCCATGAAATCTGAGGAGATATCATGGCCCCCGTCATGATATCCCCCCCTAGTAGTCATCACCCCCTCTTTGCCGCCCCCGAGAAAACGCAGCCGGGTTTCTCCTGGAGCTCCGCAGTGGGGAAAACAGCACCCGGGCGAGGGCCACAGGCAACGACGGATCAGTTCGCGGAAGATGTCATGTTTTTTGGACGTGCGGACGCGAGCACGCGCGCAGCCGCGGCGCTCGACCGCACCCCGAGGCTCAGTCCGGGACCTTTGGGAGCTGCGCAATGCATTGCGCAGCCAAGCATGCAAACGCCTCCGCGCTGCCACCCGCGCAAAGCAACTCGCCAAGGAGCAGCGCCGCCTGGCACCGCGCCGGCAGACGCTCCCGCCAGCCCGGGCACGCGCTGAACATCCAGTAGGAGCTCGAACACAAGAAGTTTTCCAACCCTGAGACCCCAGGACGTCCACTGATTTTTGGTGTGGGGACGCCATGCCTTCCATCGCAAAGAACCATCGGAACCCAACAAAAACACGGGCACCCCGGAGGCAAGCAGGGTGCTTCTTGGCATGGGTTTCCATGGTACTTCGTCCGCACCCTGAGCATGGCTGGCAGTTCGCTTTGCATGCTCAGGGCATTCCTCGCGCCGCGCGGCGCGAAGCCTCGGGCAGTCGCAACGTCCATGGAACAGCGTGCCTCGTGCTCCACAGTGGCCGCAGCGTTCGTGCAGAGCCTTCCCGCGCTTATATTGATGTTGCTCCCATCGTTCTTAAGAACCACATCCCAGAAATGATTTCGAGCACCCAGAAAAGCGTCGAAAGAGTGTCGAAGCGGTGTCGAAACAGTGTCGGACGAGTGTCTCCCGGGGCCCGACACGTGAAAACTCTAGAGTTTCGGTACTTCTCTCGTGCTCGAACTTCTTTCTGGCGATCAAGGCTAAAGTAGGTTGGAACATCATAAGCTTGTACGCAGCCTGGCTTGGGCCCAACGGCTGCCTCCCACAAGCGAACGAACGGCAAAGCACACGTGGGCTGTCCAACCCGCCGTACACGACCTGCTGAAAAAAAGCGGAGGCTGGCGAAGCCCAGACGCCTTCCAGGCGCCTGAGCGGCAACGTCTGACGCCGCAAGAGCAGCGTCGCGGACCAAACTCGCGAAGAATCCCGGCGAAAACTGTGTGATGGCCAAATCTCCCCCCCACACGGGGGGCCCCTATAGACCGCAGCCGAAGGCAGGGTCGCACCGATCCTGGGCGGGATCCACTACCTGGGATCAAGGCCTGGCCCGAGCGGCGAGGATGGCCTAGTCGGCCTCCAGACATGTTCCCAAGGGCCTCCGCCCAGGGAGAGGGGTCCCGGCAGACAGGGTCCAATGCTGGATCATTAACCTCTGCGGCGTGGGCCACCCGTGGGTCCCCAAAAGCACCTTTGGGCGTCGCTCGCAGCCGGAGGGCCATTCACGTCGCGGGAGGGGCGCGGCCCTGCGCTCGAAGGGTCCCGGCCCGAAGAGAATGCCACTTGCGATCGCTTAGGCCAGTGACAGCGGGTCCCGAAGCAGCCGTCGCCGTGGGAGGACCCCGCATAAGCGTGCTGACACTGGCGCCAGCTTGTCTGAGCTAGGCTGCGCGGGCGGCGACAGCTCTGGCCTGCACCAACCTTTTTGCGTTGCTCGTGAACGCTGCGGTTGGCGCCGCTGCTGGCATCCGCCCCAAGACAGCGACCAACATATTTGTTCGATCCGAGTCTAAATCCCAGCGCTGCGCCAGGTCCTGCTCCACATCGGGAGTGCTGGCCATACATATCACTAGTATATATATACACACAGCATATGCAACCTTTTTCAAAGCAGCCACAAGGTCCACCATGCCCGATGGGAACTGCTCCGCAGCCTTTGCTCTACCGCCGATCGCCTGAAGGAGAAATTCATCAACCAAAATCTGGAACCTGACCTGCGGGTACAACCGCGGGAGTTTGTTTAGTGTGTACACAAGCAGTTATGCTAACGCTGATGCGTTGAGGTATGGGAAGATAAGGAGGAGGAGCAGGATGCGAAGGGGACAGAAACAGGAGACCTCTCCTCCTTCTCTTCCCATTATCATTCTCCTCTCGAATTTCCCTCCCCGTCCTCCCTCCTCTCCTTGTCCTCCTCCAACTCCTCCTCCTCCTCCTCCTCCTCCTCCTCCTCCTCCTCCATCTCCATCTCCATCTCCATCTCCATCTCCATCTCCATCTCCATCTCCATCTCCATCTCCTCCTCCTCCTCCTCCTCCTTCTCCTCCCGCTTCTCCCTTCTGCTCCACGGGCTCCTTCTGGTACTCCCACTTGAGGCGGACGAGCATGCCATTCATGGCAGATTCCACGATGCTGTCCATGAAATGGTGCCCGTGCTCACGGTTTCCGCCTTCGGCGGGAAGAATGGGGGCCTCTGTCCCTAGCTGCTGGAAACACGAGAGGGAGGGCGAGAGGGAGGAGGAGAATGAGGAGGAGGGGGAGGAAGTGGGAGGGAGGACTGCCGACGTACTGCTGGTATTGCCCTTTTCAGGCCTCGAGCCTCGCGGGTTTGGAGACCTCTGGTGAGGAGGAAGGAGGATGAGGAGGAGGAGGAGGAGGAGGAGGAGGAGGAGAAGGAGGAGGAGGAGGAGAAGGACCTGCCATCGTGCCGTAGGCACCGAATGGAGTGTACTCAGGTCGCCTTGGCCTTCGGTACTCTGCATCGAATCTCGTGATGCTCTTTGAGGGGCCCAGAGCCCAACCTCACATGGACGGTCACGTGACTTTCGGAGCTGGCCGCGTGACTAGCAGGGCTGGTCGCGTGCCTATTCTAAAGGCCTCAGGAGCGTGGTTGGGATTCCGAACTTCAGCATGGCCTAAGCTTGTCTCTAGGCCCGTCTTGAAGCCCTCTTGGTCGCATCTGGGGCTGTCTTGGAAGCGCTAGGGCCAACCGAAGGGGGCAACATTCGCCGGCGTAATGAATGGTCAGGGATCAACTGACCCGGGTTAATCCAGACTCGGGTCAATCGGGCCTTGCAGGATCCTGCAGGATCCTGCACCCAAGCCCGGGTCAGTGCGCCCCTGGTCCCGCAGGATGCTGCAAGATCCGGCGCCCTGGCTGACCCCCGTTCGCGTTGACCGCCGTCTCTTGAGCCCCGAAACGGGCCGAAGGCGTGCTAGAGTCTCCGGCATGTGTCTAAAGCTTTCGCATGATACTAATTCGCGCGCGCGGGGCGGCCCTCTGCAGCGCAGTTCGGGCTCCAAGAGCGCTCCAGGGGAACTCCAAGTCGGTCCGATAAAGGTCTCGGAACGAGAGAATACCGCTCCAACAAATTCAAGATCGCCTCAAAAAACCAAACATCGGACGATCGTGATGTCACGATGCGATTGGGTCAGGGTGCGTTCCAGGAATTCTGTACCTGGCGGCCCTTCTGCAGCCCGCGTGAAACAACACTAGGAATCTGGCAAGTCCTGGAGCTTTGGGAACATATCATTATCATGACTCTTGCCCCCAAAAGGATAGAACCCGCTTCCCTCATGACCCATTTGAGCGACGACAGCGGATTTACGTCGGAAGACTTAGCGACCTTCCACCGTGACTTACGCGGGCCGCCAGCGCGGCACGCCACATGGGAAACGAGGGGACTTCTGCGCCATCTTACGCAGGCAGCTTGCACACGAATGTCGGCGCAATCGATCCCGTTCTCAGACCCCCGACGTCATGACAATTGCAATGTGGCGTGGACCCCCAACGGTCTGGACCCATTCCCCGGGACCGGCTCTTCCCCTCGAATCCTTTCTTCGCGGCCCCGAGGGCCGGTAATAAGGGCCCTCAGAGGCTGAACATAGCGAAACGCCTCCCGCCACGACTGCTCCATGCCCCGAGGGGCTCTGGCTTCCCCCTGCGCCGCTCACCTGCTCCCGCGGCGCTCGGCGCGCCTGTGGCGCCCGGGGGCCGCTGGGCCGCGGCGCCCGGCTCTGCGAGCTGCCCGGAGAGGCCCGGGCCCGGCGCCCCGTGGCCGTGGGCGGCGGCCGCCATGCGTGGCGACGGCCGCACACCTCGGCCACTGCGCCTCCGAGCGCTGCCCGGACGGCCGCCGATGGCCGCCGACGGTCCGCCCATGGCCGCGGAAGGCCGCCGAAGATCCGCCGAAGATCCGCCGATGGCCGCGCGCTCCTCCCCGTCCGTGCCGCCGATGCAGGCCGCCGGCGGCCGCCGAAGGCCCGCCCGGCAAGGGCCGCCGAGGCCAGCGGGATCGCGCCTCGCCAGGCACCCGGCGTCCCGACCAGGGGAGGCGAGAGGCGGCCAGCTCCTCGTCGTCTTGGTGGGCCGGTCTCGGTCGGGCCCGGGGGGCGTCGGCTCAGGGCCCCGCAGACGACGACATGCTGGGGGTCCAAGACCGGTGTGGTGACGGACCGCGTGGTGACCCCAGGCTCCCCCACGACCTCACCGCGTGGTCCGTCGCCGAACGGTCTTGGAACCTCGGAGGCCCTGGCTGACCGAGGCGTACTCGGGCAAAGACCCGAGTGAAAAACCAGTGAAAAGTAAAGGTACAGGGCTTGACCATGAGGTAATAAGCTGAGAACCCTACTCATAGGATAACGTCGGCGACGTATCGAGGTATCCCACAACTCATCCCTTGATGGCAAGCATGACGAGATCTAAGAAGGAAGCCATGGTACAGAGGGGCGTATCATAGATAGACGTTGCCTTTGCCCGATGCTATGGCCCCGATTGAGTCACACACGGCGGTCCAACTAACAAATAGGACAGCGCTGCCTTGAGCGAAGACAACGTCGGATATAGCGTTCGCTATACAGCCTCTCCTGAAACCTCGTTTAAAGTAAACCGTGTGGTGACCCGGATCCCCCACTGGCTCACAACGCGGTGTGGTCGCCGCGTCGTTTGGGGGCCCCCGAGCGCTGCTGAACCAAGACGCTGGCGCGCCCGGAGAAAACTGCAGCCGTGGGGCGTAACGCTCTCCAATCTTCGCCCCCTCCGGGCGGGATTCTCGAAGGCCTGGCTTGCAGTGTCCTGGCCCGGGGGGCCCTGATCAGCGGCATGGGATTACCCCAGGGAAGGGTCCGACAGCTCTGACGCCCCACGCCGTGGGGAAATCGAGCCGCCGGGTGCCTGGCCTTCGGCGGGCCTTCGGCGCCATCGGCGACCAGTGGAGGATTATCGCGGGCTTTCGGAGGTACGGCAGCGGCGCGGCGGTGACGTCGCCGCCACCGTCGGCGTGCTCGGCGTGCTCGTCGTCGTCGTCGTCGTCGTCGTCGTCGTCGTCGTCGCCGCCGCCGCCGCCGCCGCCGCCGCGCCAACCCCGCCCGCCCGCCCGCCCTCCCGTACGCCCGCCCGCCCGCCTGCCGCCGCCACCGCTCGATCCAGCGAGAATCGAGGCTCGATGATCGAGGCTCCAGGGAACATATGAGGATTTTGTGGGCATTGGAGGATGCCCTCGTGGCCGCCGTCTCGGTGCCTTCCTGGACACTATGTCTCGTGCCTCGAAAAACTGGCCAGGGTGGACCCAGGAAGAGCCCAGTGCTCAGTGTTGAGCGCATCGCGCCGTATGGCCGACGATGCATCGGTGATGCGGCAGCGATCCACCGAGACTTGGAGTAACCAAGCAGTGCCGACACCGATATATTTTTTTGTGCCCGGACAGAACACCTGGGCGACACAACCCGAAGGGAGGTGCCCAAGGTGCCTGCATGAATTCACATGCAGTCGGACCTCGCAACACGAACGGCGGCACGGACCGCCCCCGGCGTTATCCGCGCCGCCGTTGCGAGGTGCCTCGAGATGCCACCCCGAGACACGGCCACCGGCACCACCCCCACTTGGCCGCCGGCCTCAAGCAGCGGAGGCCCCGCTGCACAAGGACTTAAGTTCCCGCACTCCCTGGACCTCTCCCAGGGTGCGCGTGCTGACCAGAATTTCGAGGCGAACGCAGCCGTCGCGACGAGGGCCTCCCAGGCAGCGCGTGACTGCGAAAGCGAGGTCAGGCTGGCGGTATTGGTCCCCTCTTGGTCGGGCGTGCCGTCGTCGCCGCCCGTCATGTCGGTGTCGGTGCCGTCGTCTCGCCTCCTCCCTTTCCTGGTTGCCCCTGCTCCCTGTTTCCTTCTCCCACCTCCTCCCTCCTACTCCACCATCCCTCCTTTCCCCTCCCTACTCTCTCCTCCTTCCTTTTTACCTAACATCGAAGACTGGTAGGTTTCTAGTGGGCTAAAAACAGCTCACAGATCACTCCACAGGGGGGTCCGGGCAGGTGTTGGGAGTTGCCGGGCGGGTTGAGTCCACCTCGTTTTTCACCAACAGTCACACACTTCGTGCTCTTCGAGTTCCCAGAACTCCATTCCCAGGCTCATTCTGAATAACCGGATGCAACAGTCACACACTTCGTGCTCTTCGAGATCCCAGAACGCCATTCCCGGGCCACCTTTAAAATAACCGGATGCAACAGTCACACACTTCGTGCTCTTCGACATCCCAGAACGCCATTCCCGGGCCACATTCTGGAGGGCCGGATGCAACAGTCACACACTTCGTGCTCTTCGAGTTCCCAGAACTCCATTCCCGGGCCACATTCTGGAGGGCCGGATGCAACAGTCACACACTTCGTGCTCTTCGAGTTCCCAGAACTCCATTCCTGGGCCACATTTTGGATGCCCGGAGCCAACTCTAGTCCACTTCCTGGTCTTCGAGTTCCCAGAACTCCATTCCCGGGCCACATTTTGAATAGCCAGACGCTTCATAATCCTTCCGCCACAGCCGTGTTTGGTTCAGGACTTGCTAGTGACACTGCAGTCCACTGCATTCAATCGTGCCACTGCATTCATTCACTGCAGTCCACTGAGTTTCGATTGCAATGGCGTTCCCCTGGCCGTACCCCCATGTCCAACGTTCATCCGCAGCCTCTGCTCCGCGAGGCTCGTCCGAAGTGTCGCCGCCTCGCGGTGCTTCTCAGCCTGCGCCGCCTCGCGGTGCTTCTCAGCCTGCGGAGGAAGGTGGACAGACGCCTGGTTCTGGCGCTGTGCAGCCTGCGTCTTTCACGGTCGCCTCGTTCAATTTCGGGTTCGAGCAGGGCATGATGACTGGTAAGCAGGCGGCCACTCACTGCGCTAACTTCGGAAGGGTGTGCGCCACGATAGTGGAGACCGCTGATGCTGATATTGTCTGTGCATGCGAGGTCGGTGCGTTCCGTGAAGGCTTTCGCCGAGCAGGGATCAACGTGACAGAGATCCTCAGTAAGCCTTTCGGTGATGGCATTGGCTTCTCGGAGGTCGACAACTACTTGACTCTCTGGGGCTTCCGCGGTGCTTCTCAGCCTGCGGAACTGACTCTGTGCGAAGACAGCCAAGTTTACAGGCCTCCTAGCGGCCGAGAGATTGATGCTGTTATTTCACATT